AAAATTTCCATTTTCTTAGAGAAAAAAAGTCCATACCTCTAACCCTCCCAAATAGTGACCTCTAATTCTTACTGGGCATAGGAACACAGAGGTCAATAAAGTCCCTACTCTCAGAACCTATACTTTTAGTGAAGGAGGCAAGCCAAAAATAAGTTTTAAAAAAGTACTTCTGATAGCCATAAGTGCTATACAGTCATTAAAACATGACACCATGAAAGAGTATGGGGAAAAGAAGTTACTTCAGATAGGGTGGTTAGAAAAGGATTTTCTGAGGGGATAAGCTGCGGCTTGAATAATGAGATGCCAGCATTGTAACCAGTAGAAGGATGTTTCAGGCAAAGAGAAGAACCACCTTAGTAATGAGCTTGGCAAGTTTTAAGTCACAGAAAGGCAGTCAGTGTGGCTGCAGCAAGGTGACATAAGACAGGCAGAAATCAGTTAGGAAATTTGGAATTTATGCTTAGTGTAATAAAAGCCACAGGAGGATTTTAAGCAAGGAGGATGATGTGATCTGACTACATTTTTCCTCCAGATGCTTATGCTGCTCAAATCCTTATCTCCTGAAGGTCTTTATTAAGTCAATTTTTAGAGCTGGGCATGATGGCTCAAGCCTATAATCCTAGCACTTTAGAAGGCTGAGGTGGGTGGATTGCTTGAGCTCAGGAGTTCGAGACCAGTCTAGGCAAAAGTGAGACCTTGTTGGTAGTGAAAATAGAAATAAACTAGCTGGGTATTGTGGCAGGTGCCTGTAGTCCCTAACTACTTGAGACGCAAGAAAATCTCTGGCTCAAGACTTTGAGATTGCTGTGAGTTATGAGGCCAAGGCACTCTACTCAGAGTGACAGTGAGAGACTTTGTCTCAAAACAAACAAAGTCACCTTGAAGAAGGCCTTCCCTAGCTACCCTATCAAAAATTATTTAACTCCTGGGCGGTGCCTATGGCTCAAAGGAGTAGGGCGCCAGCCCCATATGCCAGAGGTAGGAGGTTCAAACCCAGCCCCGGCAAAAAACTGCAAAAAAAAAAATATATATATATACATATATATATATATGCATTATTAACTCCCTTCTCTATTTCCTTCTTAGTACTTAGTCACATTTAACATGCCATGGCATTTCTAACTTCTCCAACTTATTTATTATCCAATTCTTCCTGTTAGAATAACTCTACCAGGGTAGAAATTTTTCTTTGGTTTGTTTACTATTGTACCCCCAGGTCCCAGAACAGTGTCTACAACACAGTAGTTCAACAAATACCTGTCAAATATATAAAGTGAAAAAATTACTATTATTATTATTATTATTGAGACAGAGTCTCACTCTGTGGCCCTGGGTAGAGTATCCTGGAGTCATTGTTCACAGCAACATCAAACTCCTAGGTTCGGGCAATTATCTTTGCCTCAGGCTCCCAAGTAGCTGGGGCTATAGGCACCCGCCACAACACCTGGCTTGTTTTTTCTATTTTTAGTAGAGACAGGGTGTCACTCTTGGTTAGACTGGTCTTGAACTCCTAAGTTCAGATGATCCACCCACCTACGTTTCCCAGAGGCATGAGCCACTGCACCAGGCCAAATTATTTTGATTGCTATGTACAGAATAAACCAGTGCGTAGCAAGAGTGGAGTATAAAAGAGCCAAATGCAACAACCTAGGAAAGAGGTAAAAGGACTTAGACCGGAGTTATGGTAGGAGGACAGTTTGGGTGATGTATTTTGGAGCTAGAGGTTAACAGGTTAGATGGATGAGGTTAATCTGGTAGATTAGATGTTGGAATCAGGGTAATGATGACTGTTTCTGACTTGAGCATTGACTGATGCCATTTATTGAGACAGAGAAGACTGGAGCAAACAAACTATGCAATGGAGAAGAAAAAGGAAGTTGTGAAAACATCCATTCTGTTTTCCATGCCTCCTCTGCAGTACCTGACACATTGACACTGCTCAGCTGTGAAAATGTTTTTGTTTTGTTTTGTTTTGTTTTTGCAGCTTTGGCCAGGGGCTGGGTTTGAACCCACCACCTCTGGCATACGGGTTCTGCCCCCTACCCTTTTGAGCCACAGGCTCCACCCAGCTCTGAAAATCTTAATACAGGGACCAGGGACAATTCACCTAGGACCAGAGTGACCAAAGTACTTGGATACGTGTTAAGAGAACCACTGGAGAAAACAGAAACTTTGTCACTAGGTTGAAAAAAAAAAAAAAGGTTTAGGAACTGAAAATAAAAAATTCCCAAACACCAAATCCTGCCCACAGGCGCCCAGAGATTCTACTGAAGTGGTGATGTTGAGAAATCAACGTTATTTCTAAGCTAAACTTCTTAATCTAGTGCTCTGTCACTCCAGCAGTGAGTTAGGTCAAAAACCAGAGATTTGGGGAATCCAACACATTTAAGTTCCATCAATCAGAACCGAGTCTCCCTGTGGAGTTATTTGAACCTCTGTAGGTTGGTTTCTCAGCTATACAACATGGAATAATATTAACTGCCTCAGCTCAAAGTGCTGTGAGGATGAAAACAATGTGTAAAGAAAGCAAAGGGCTGAGTATAATCTCAGCCATGGCACTCAATGAGTGGCGGTGGCTGCTCCGTTATTTTACTGCAGAGAAGCAGTTCCAGCTTTCCTCACCTAAATTCACACTCTAATAAAAGTCTAGCCTAGTCAACCATACTAGGTTAGCTCTCCAAACTCGCCAGAAACACAGGGATCTGAGTTTCTTTTCTAGGATCCAGGTAGGGCAGCTGAGGCTTAAGGGAATAAAAACCACGCAAACCCATGGAAACGTCAACTCTCTAAAAAGTACCAGACACTTCCAGTGCGTCACCTCTTAAAAAAAAAAAAAAAAGACGAGACACCGGCAGGAACCAAGTCCCCTCGCCCTGGTGAACTTTTCCACTCATCGTCCAGAGTGAGGGAACAGCGGGTTCCTGAGACAGGGACGCGCCCTCGGGAGCCGGCGGGTCCGAGTCCGTTATTGTGCTCACTGGGGCTCGGGGCCCTTCATCCCCGCCGACTGGGCTGGGTGTGCAGGTCCCCGGCCTGGAGGCCTCAGAGCGCCCGAGTTACGAGCGTTTGTGGAAACGGGGATTGCGGGCGAAGGGGCTGGGGTGGAGAGGGCGTCCCGGAGGAGGGGCGAGATTACCCGGCTGTCGCCTGGATGGTCTCCGCGGCCGTCCCGGGAGAAGTCGGCGCGGGACTCCCCCCGGCTGCTGCCTCGGAAGCCAGCCGGGCCCGGCGGGAAGAGTCGTCGGCTTCGCGGTGGCGACGGGGAGCCACGACGTGCCCGCGACGGGGGCGGGGAGCCGCGGCGACCCCGCGACGGGGACGGCGAGGCCCGGCGGCTGCGGTGCCCTGAGGGCGAGCGAGGCCGGCGAGCCGAGGTCCGCGATGAGGAGGAGCTGGAGGGCGGCGACGAGGTACGGCGAGCCGGGCCTGAGGAGGAGCCGGAGCTGCGGCCGCTGCGCGGGCCCCCACAGCCGCTGTCTTTAGGCCGGTGGGAAGAGACGGAGGAGCGGGAGCCGCTGCGGTACATGGTTGTGGAAGCAGCGGCTATGGCTGCAGCTCCGACTCGGGGGCGCCCTAGACGTGGGCCCCGAGCGCGCCGCCGCAGCTGAAGCCGCCGCCGCCACCTCAGCCGCGGCGCGCCGCTTCAGCCGCCAGCAGCCCCCTCCCCTCGGCCCCGCGCCACAGCCTGGGGCCCGGCCGAGCGCGCCCCCGCGGCCGCAGCCGGCGGTTGGAGGGAGCGAGCACGCGACCAATACTTCCCCCGCCCCCCGCCTCCGGGCTCTGGGTTCCTCCACTCAGGGAGCGGCCACAGAGCCCGGAAAAGTGGGGAGGAGCGCGGAAGCCGTAGCAAGGCTGAGGAGGGGAGGGGAAACGAAGCGCGCGCCCTGAGCTCCGCACGCTCCCTCTCCAAACCCTCAAGATGGCGGGCGCGGAACCGCCCACTTACCCTCCCCGGCGGCCACGTGACCCTGAGGGACTCCGCGTGGAGTGGGCGGGGCGAGAGGGCGGGATTGGCGGGAGAAGAGTTCGTTCTTCCAGGTAAGCCGGAGGCCTACCGGCTAGGCGGGTTTTGGGAGCGTCTTGGTCCTTTCCCTTCCCGTCCACCGAGTGTAAATGACCCCCTAAAAAACGATGGCTGCGTGGGAAGATATGCACCTAGACAAGCGCGCCCGCGGAAATCCCAGCCCTCACCGAAGCAGGATGATAACTGAGGAGTAAGTTTACTCCACTTTGATTTCTAGGGATTGAATTAAGGGTGAGAAAGTGCAGGTTAGGGTTGAGAATCAAACCCAAAATAGACATCAGTAAGTTTTCAAGAGGTCTTTTCCCTGGCCAAGCATTTGTGATCATGGCGAAGGTTACTACCAAGGCTCCATAACATGACAAACGGGAGGCTTGGCTAGTATTTTATGAGAGATTCAGACGCCACCGTCGTCCTCTTCCCAACCCTACCAATAGAATTCCCCTAGATGCCTGTCTCAAGGACTTGCATCCTAAGTACAAAAGTCAAGAAAAGATAACACAGGAGAACACAATGGTCAAAACATGAAAAAAAATGTTGACTGTAAACAATGGCTTAATGTTTTTCATCTATCAACTAAAAATACAAAACCCGAAATCGGTTAAAAAAAATCAGGGTCAGTCTTGATAGCTTAGGCCCGTAATCCTGGCACTTCAGAAAAACTAAGGGGCCACCACTTAAAATCAGGAGTTGGTAACCAGCCTGAGCAACATAGGGACAACAGGTCGCTACAAAAAAAATTAGGTGGAGTCATGCTGAGGCTTGATCTCAGGAGTTTGAGGTTTTAGTAATCTCTGGTGACCTCCATTGCACTGTAGCCTCAGCAACAGAGGGAGGCCCTATCTCAAAACAAATCAGGTTTCTGATGTGAAAACCAAGGCAGAACAAAGAAAAGTTTAATTATAAAAGCTTTCCGTTTTCCAATTTATATTTCATGAGCTAAAATAAAATCTTAAGCCTCTCCTAACTGACTTAATGGACCCCTCTTGGCCAAGGGGACCCCCCAAAAAATCCCACAAGCTAAATTGTCAGCTATGAGTAGGGGGTCAGATGCCTACCTTGTCTGTTTTGGAGTTATTTTTGTGATAATAAGATACAAAATCATTAACAAGCCTAAGGTCATGTAAGTCAAAGATCAAATCACACCTTATAGGTCATCAATTTACTAAAAAGATCACTTGAGTCTCAGTATATGTCCAAGCTTAGTATATGGGTGGTCTCTGATTAATAGACTTCCTTAACTTAAAATATGCCAAGCCTTTAGACAAAACTTCATTTCTGTTTTGTTGTTGTTGTGGTTGAGACAGTCTCACTATGTCACCCTTGGTGGTGTCACAGCTCCCAACAACCTCAAACCCTTGGGCTTAAGCAATTCTCTTGCCTTAGCCTCCCAAGTAGCTGGGACTTACAGACACCCGCCACAACACCCAGCTAAAAACTTCATTTCTTTAACCAATTATAAATCAAAGAATCTGGGTTTTTTTTTTTTCTTTTTGGGATACAGTCTCACTTTGGTTGCTCTGAGTAGAGTGCCTTGGCATCATAGCTCACAGCAACCTCAGATTCTTGGGCTCAAGCGATCCTCTTGCCTCAGCCTCCCAAGTAACTGAACTACAGGCACCTAGCACAACTCTAGACTAGTTTTTAGTAGAGGCAGGATTTCACTCTTGCTTGAGCTCAAGCATACCTGCCTCAGCCTTCCAGAGTACTAGGATTACAGGCATGAGCCACCGTGCCAGGCCTGAGGTCAAAGAATCTTTAAACCCACTTATAACCTGTAAACCCTCACTTAGAGATGTCCTACCTTTCAAGCCAGACCAATGTGTGCCTTCCGTGTATTGATTTATGGCTTCACATGTAATTCCTATCTTCCTAAAATGTATAAAACCAAACTGTAACCCAACCAAGGTGAGACCACTTGATCAAGGCTTCTTGGGTATGGCTCTCTGGGCTATAGTTGCACATAGTTGGTTCAAAATAAATCTTTTAAAATTATTCTAGTTATTTTTTGAGTTATTGAGTTATTTTCCATTGACAGCTTCTGGCTCTGTCTCAAAAAAAAAAATTTTTTTTGCTAGTTGATTTTTCTTATACTCAGCTTATTTCACTATTTATATAATTTATATAAAATAAAAACCCATAAAGTTATTTTGGCTTGGCACCTGTAGCTCAGGTGTAGGGCGCCAGCCACATACACTGAGGCTGGCAGGTTGAAGCCTGGTCCGGGCCAGCTAAACAACAATGACAACTGCAACAACAACAATAACAAAAAATAGCTGGGCGTTGTGGTGGGTGCCTGTAGTCTCAGCTACTTGGGAGGCTGAGGCAAGAGAATCTCTTAACCCCAAGAGTTTGAGGTTGCTGTGAGCTATGATGCTACAGCACTCTATTGAGGGTGACACAGTGACACTATGTCTCAAAAAAAAAAAAGGTAATTTTAAGGAAAAAGTGATAGAAATCTGCCAGAGGTGTATGCCCTGCCTTTTGGTTACCTACACTTTTGGTGGGATTTAAGTAAATGTCAAGAAAATATGAATCCGTATGTACAGATACTTGAAGTCAAAACTTTTTTTTTTTTTTTTTTTGAGACAGAGCCTCAAGCTGTCCCCCTGGGTGGAGTGCTATGGCATCACAGCTCACAGCAACCTCCAATGCCTGGGCTCAAGCGAGTCTCCTGCCTCTGCCTCCCAAGTAGCGGGGACCACAGGCGCCCGCCACAATGCCTGGCTATTTTTTGGTTGCAGCCATCATTGTTGCTAGGCGGGCCCGGGCTGGATTCTAACCTACCACCTTAGGTGTATGTGGCTGGCGCCTTAGCCACTTGAGCCACAGGCGCTGAGCCCAAAACTTTTAAAGTCAGGTTTCATTATATTCTGTATCAACTTTCCTCCTCAATCCTTTTCTAATACTGAATGAGTGTTTTTATCAAAGAAGCTGGACTCCATGATATATCATCAGAAAACTCTCCTTCCTCTTCACACTTGCCCTATGTATAGTTTTTCTATGTTCCATATGAAATCTATTGAAGATCCCTCCAGTTTTCAAGTGTTCTTTAGTCACATGAACAGTCGTATTGCAGTAATAAAAACGTTTAGTCCAGGGAAGGATAATAAATAAAACTTTAAGCGGTAGGTTGGTGGAGTGACTTATACCTGCAATTTAGGAGGCCAAGACAGAATCACTAGAGGCCAGAAGTTTGAGAACAGCCTGAGTAACATGGTAAGACCCCATCTCTACAAAAATAAAAAAATTAGCTGGGTGTGGTGGTAAGCCTGTAGTCCCAGCTACTCCAGAGGTTGAGGCAGGAGGATCCCTTGAGCCCAGGAATTTGAGGTTACAGTGGGCTATGATTATGCCCTGCAACCAAGTCTGGGTGACAGAATTGAGACCATGTCTCAAAACCAAAACAAAATAAAACTTTAAACTTCAAGCTAAAGGTTCTCCTCCCCCTTAACTCTTGCTGCTTCAAACTTAAAGCTCCCTGTGATAAAGAGAGGGGGTGGTAGTTCTCTCTACATCCCTGATCTTATTCCCCTGAGTTTACTCTTTTTCCACTGGCTAGCTGCTACTTCTGACATAACCCCCAACCCCTATTTGGTGCAGGAAGAAAAGGGTCAGGGAAAGAGGACAGACTTTCCTGGTTGGTGCAAGATGCTATTATCTTCCAAAATGTGTTCCCTGTGGATATGGAGCACTCACAAATGTTGGCTTTTCTCTCTTATATCACCTTTGTGGGCTTTTCTAGGACTTTTCTTCTGGGAGGTAGGTGATACTGCTTCTCCTTTGGTTGACTGTCTATGACTCTCCTCCCTTACTCCATATAAAACTCACTTCCTTGGTGTCCCTTTACTCTTTGGGCATCCCTCGTGGGAAAGATCCCCCCCCTTTTTTTCTTTAGAGACAGAATCTCACTCTGTTGCCCTCGGTAGAGTGCTATGGCATCACAGCTCACAGCAACCTCCAACTCTTGGGCTTAGGCAGTTCTCTTGCCTCAGCCTCCTGGTAGCTGGGACTACAGGCGCCTGCCACAATGCCCAGCTATTTTGTTTGTTTGTTTGGTTGGTTGGTTGCAGTTTGGCCCGAGCCGGGTTTGAACCTGCCACCCTTGGAATATGGAGCTGGTGCCCTACTCAGTGAGCCACAGGCACCTCCCTCGCCTTTTTTTTTAATTGAGACAGTCTTACTTTGTCACCCTTGGTAGGCTGCCATGCTGTCATGGCTCACAGCAATCTTAAACTTTTGGGCTTAAGAGATTCTCTTGCCTCAGCCTCCCTAGTAGCTGGGACTACAGGTGCCCACCACAACGACCAGCTATTTTTGTTTGTTTGTTTGTTTGTTTAGCAGGCCAGGGCTGGGTTCAAACCCATCAGCCCTAGAGCATGTGGCTGGCACCCTATCTACTGAGCTATGGGCACCCAGCCAGAAAGATCCCTTTTAAAAGGCTGTAAATTGGCTTGGTTCCCATGGCTCAAGCGGTTAAGGTGCCAGCCACATATACCTGAGCTGGCTGGTTCAAATCTCAGACTGGGCCCGCCAAACAACGACAGCTGCAACCAAAAAAGGCTCCAAGCTTC